CCAGTGATGGACAAAATTAGAGAGTCGTCTTAGATCGTTTAGTCACATTAAACGTCCACCATTTGATGATCTGATTAGGAGAGCACATGTTTAGATTCGACTTATGTTAAAAAAGGCAGAGATACACCTAGAAAGACTTGGGCTTATTGTATAAAAAAGATCTTAATTTATTAGAATTAAATGAAAATATGACAATAAATAGGACGCAATGGAGAAAAAGGATTCATGTAGCCGACCCCACGCAGTGGGATTAAGGCTTTGTTTTTGTTATTGTTGTTGTTGCGGTGTAAGTTCTCAAGCTGAATTAGAAATGCTAAGTTTAGAAAAAAGATTTCAAATACAACATAAAATGAAGTACATATTTATTAAAAATAAAATGCTTGTTCAAGAAAATGTACTATAAGTGCATATAAAGAAGAATGTCAAAAATAATTGCCTTTGGCACTGCTTAGAATTAATTTTTTTTTATAAACATTAATAATCGTGTGTAAACTATTGTATCAAAATCAAAAAGTAAGGAAATATAAATCAAGCCTTAAGAACATAATAAGCAATTGATTTTTTTTTTTTTTTTGAGATTATACTCAAAAAAAATGGGACTCTCAAGTTTCAGTAGGCGGGGTGGGTTTTACGTTATGTTTAATTAACTTTATGTGATGTTAAACTACTTAGAGTTCATGCATTAATTTCTATAGTTGCAAATTGACATGCCAAGAATCCTATATTTCTATGCAAAGAAGATGAATATACCAAGACAAGGAATTTAAAACAAGAGATGCAAATGTTACCCAAAAGTGAAGATCAAACCACCACTTATTAATGTTTGTTGGAGTGTCGGCACAAAAAAGAGGGGGTTGTTTGGGGGTCTTCCGTAAGAAGCTGGCGGGAGGTGGGAAAGAAGCTGTCGGGAGCTGGAATTGAAATCCCATCGCCCGCTTCGGAAAGACGTTGAAGTATGAAACCATTTTAATCTACGTATATATATATATATATAATTTTAGAAAAATATGAAATCAAACTGACCTCATATTTTTCGCAGTTTAAAAGAAAGAGCGCTCTTTTTATGTGTATGACCAAGAGAATGTATAGAAAGCAGAAAATTTGTAAGCTTGTAGACGTTTGAAGATCGGGCAAGGGGTAATTTATGATAGGCTGAGAGGTGGAGCGAGGTCTGTGCGGAAGGTTTGAGAGTGGATTAGGGTTCATGATAAAACCGGCAGCACCTTCTAAAGTTTGAACTTCATGGAGGGTTCAGGGGACAGATCAAGAGCTATGGTAGACGTCGGAATTATTGTCGAGTTATAGAGGGGTTAAAGTGTCAACTATATTAGGGATTTGAGAGGCAACCAAGAGGTAGAGGCAGAGAGATATACAAAACATAAAAGAGACAAAACATGAACACGCAAAAATCGTTAGATCGCCCAACAAGCTTCTCCAATGAATTTATTTACAAGCAAAACTCAATAATTCATTCACAAATGCTAAAAGAAAGAATACAGGGTGTTTATAGAAAGGAAATAAAAAATACAACAATAAGCACTTAACATTTTGGCTGAGTCATATATGGTGATGAAGTGGTTCTAAATTGCATGCATCCATTTTGCTCATGTTTGGAGGGGCAAACCGATAGAATTGAAGGGAGGTTTGACTTCATTTAATTACATGTCAATTCTTTGGATAGAAGAGGATTTGATCATACTTTGTGTGATATGCGGGGTGACACATGATTTGAAGGTTTTTGAATAAAAGGAGGGGGTCAATCAAAGCTAACTTCATGCCTTTTGATTTTAAACTTGAGATTCTAATGGTGATGATGATTCTTCATCTTAATTTAATGCTTTGCCGATGTAATTATATTGTGTTAGTGCTACATAACTAAGTTACCCCATCACAATTCTATCTCTTACCACATAAATCGGCATAAATGTTCTAAACCTGAAGCATTCGTTGTAACGGTTCATCAACATCTTGAAAATGATTTTTTTTAAAAATATCGTCTACTTAAACATGAGAAGCATAAGCAATAATAGCACTTATAATATTCTAATTGATTATTAGCTTAATAATAATCAACCCATCATAAACCATAATCTCATAAACCATGTTCAGCTCAACAGTTTTAGTTTCCAACTCTCTATGTACTACTATATACACCCTAATTCTATTAGCAACCGTTCCAATATAATAGTAACTTATAACCTTCAATGTCCCTGGATTTTTCCACTTAATTTCTTGCAAATGAGTAATGCTTTATCTTCTTCAAATCATTGGGTCCACTATTTTCTTGCTGTCGTATTATAAGCCATAATATTAGTTTAGATGACTCAAACCTTGCCCTATTTTTTCCATATATAGAACGAGTTGTGATGTTTAAGTTGACATCCTAGCCAATTCCTGTTTACATTTTTTAACACAATCAAGTTATATTGTGGACCAGTGGTGCATCACTTATTGGCGTTGCATCACAAGCCTTGCCTAGTCACACATTCAAGATGGATCAAAGCACATCACTTCCAGGGAATTCTCTAGCAACTTAAAAATTTAAATCTAGGATTATTTCATAAATTTGGGTGTTGGTTTTACGATTTACTATTGATTAAACATCGACTTTAACTTTTCTTATTTGAACCTGGGACTGAAAATAGTGAAATTGAGGATCAGAAAAAGAAATTAAATAGACAAAGAAAAAAACTAGAAACAAAGGAACATATTTATTGAGAAGATAGATAGCAGCAACAACAGATAATTATTAAAAAAAAATCCTATAATGGAAGATATGCATGTCAGATCCAGTATACCTGTAAGATTGGATTTGGCCGATCACAACAGAAATATTCAATTCTGAGGAAGACATTTCTCGCTCTGGGACCAAAGACAATCGCAACAAATCTCCTGGAATATAAAACAAATAAGACTACCAAAAGCAAGCAATGGAGGTTGACAAAAAAAGGTATGCTAGATTGCATCATTTAAAAAGAAAGAACTGTCAAATATCAAAGTATCCAACAAAAATAAATCCATTATAAAAAAGCAAAGCAATCACATAAACTTTATTTTTATTAAATCACATTTTCCTTTGTCATACTATCCAGACCGATTCTCAGTATTAACTACACCCTGCCAAGCACTTCATGCCCTCCTCCTCACACAACAAGCACACAAATTGAAAAGAAAAAAAAAGCAATGAAGTGGCCAAGGACAATTGCCTAGTACATTACAGGATTCATATAAAAGAAAATGAAAAGAATTACCTAATACGTCTATAAGTCTGTAAGAACATGAACGCACGGACAAACAACAAGTACTTGAATAAGCAAAAAAAAAAAAAAGAAACAATAAGCAGACCAGATTCACTAACCATGTCAAAATTAGCAAAACTGTTTCGTAATAGGCTAAAAGTGTGCTTCATCCTGAAGTAAAGCAATTGGATTGATAGACTAAAAAAAAAAGAAAGAATAAGCAGACCAAATTCACTAACCATGTCAAAACTAGCAAAACTGTTTCGTAATAGGCTAAAAGTGCGCTTCATCCTGAAGTAAAGCAATTGGATTGATAGACATGTTTTTTAAAATCCACATGATGATCATTCTGTGATACCAGCATTACCTAACACCAACGAAAAAATAAAATATTATTACTGGAATCAAATAGAAACTTACAACCAAGCACAACAGAAGTCTGAAATTGCAACAAACACGATACAAACTCTTGCTAAGCTTGGATCAAAAGGTGGTGGAGGTAGTCGGTGAGGGTTTGGAAGGTGGATTGAATGATGGAAAGGGTCAGTTGGCAAGCAGAAACAGCAAGGCGGCTGTTTCCCAGGATCCCGGACAGCATGCAAGCAGTAGAGATCAACGTGGAAGGGCTGTCTTGGGTGGTGGCAGCAAGGAAGATGATGGAAGTGGCATGGTAGAGGCGATTAGCTGCATGGACAGAGGTGGAGGTTGCTGTCCAGGGTGGCGGCAGCAAGCCTAGAGGGGTGGGGAGGGTTGGAAGGTGCTGGTTGGAAGCTGCTGGAACAGCAAAGGCTTGCTGTCCCGAGGCGACGGCAGCAAGTATGGGAGGAGGGAAAGTGGCTGGTGGCGGCTGGGATTGCAAAGACAGCAGGGGAATGGCTGGGACTGCAGGAAACATGCTGGACAGGGGGTAGATGAAGCAAAGGAGAGCAGCCGTGCGACATGGGGAGGATGCAGAAGGGATTAGAGAAGATAATCACCACTAGGAGACCAAAATATAGCCGAAACACCACCTAGAACCCTAGGATACAGCCCTCAAAAGGAAAAGGAGACGCCAGTAGTTGTTCCAATACAAAACACACAAACATCTAACCCTAAACACCTACGAAAGCAAATATATAATAATAAGATAATTAAGAGTGTCCCAAGAGGACCAATCGATTCCTCAACATGGACAAAACTTGGACGGACCGATTTGGTCCAAGTACAGAGCCGAGCCGCTGCTTCATTCAAGTGACTCCCGCGTTGGGAGCAAAGGATGCTCCTGCATCAGTCTCCTGAGATTGGGGGAGCTTCGATCTTATCGATCGAATCTTCCAACTCCTCGTAGTAAAGCGTCTCGTTGGCCAAGAAGAAGGTTGCAGAGTGTTATGCTTTCCCTGTAAGTCAATCATATAGGCATTGTCATTCCAAAATACATCATGATAGAATAAGTATTTATCCTCTTTGGCACAATTTATGCTGGAGTTGCATGTGGATGGATATTCTCACGAAACAAGCCTCGAACCATCAAATCAGTATTTGGCTTCTTCCGTGAAGGGTGTGCATTTTGCATTAATATAAAAAAAAGAGTTACAACATGAGGCTAAAAGAGCCAGCAAAAAGCAAAAGAAAGAGGCTACAAATTATTAGCCCCACAAAAATTTCTATCCCTTATAACAAAAGGAAGCAAGGGATGATTATCAAATAATTCTTTAACAAAAAAATCTATCATGTAAGGCAAGCTAAGCATAAAATGAGCCGCCTCATTGTTAGATCTATCAACATGTGAAAAAAGAACCAGGCGGAAGCTGATTAAATGCCATCTTGGGCCACCTCCCTCATCTTGATCCCAATCCTTTCTTTCCAAAGTGAGCCGAAGAGCATCCACAACATTGCTATTGTCCCCTTCCACCACAATACCATTGTCTCCAGCATCCACAGTTCAATCAAAGCACCAATGTATATGGCGGCTTCCCTGTCAACCCGGGAGCTATCCCAATTTAAAAGCTTTCGGCCTGCAACAACAATGCAATTTCCCATCTCATCACGCAAAATTACCCCCAAGAACCGCAAGGCCCGAGGTACAAAGGGCCCCATCCACATTCGCCTTAATATAACCAAGAGGCGAGGGGAGAAGAGAGGGTAGAAGATGCCAAAATCATCAGGGTCCCATATGTCTTGCCATGCTTCTTCACATTTATAGCATGCCAACACTGGTAAATAACGCCACAATAAATTCTTTTAGCAGCTACCTGCATTTTGAGAAGCGCCAACATCCAATTAATTACATACCATTTCCAAGCTACTAAAGCTTGGGATTTGAATTCCCCACTTCTAAAGACATTGGAAAGTAGCTTGTAGCACGTTGCAGAAGAAGATGATGTTTGTGTAATCCTCAGGCGCCCCAAATCCTCAAGGGCGCAATGGGTCCTCATTGATATTGCACTTATGCAGCCAAGAATTGGTAGGAATAGCATCGTAGAGGATACGCCAACAAAACATGGCTTAAGAAGGGTGCAAAATTGGCTTCTCCTACTCCTTGTACTCCCTATTGCAGAAGAAGATGATGTTTGTGTAATCCTCGGGCACCCCTCATCCTCAAGGGCGCAATGGGTCCTCACTGATATTGCACTTATGCAGCCAAGAATTGGTAGGAATAGCATCGTAGAGGATACGCCAACAAAACATGGCTTAAGAAGGGTGCAAAATTGGCTTCTCCTACTCCTTGTACTCCCTCATGTATTCGGTAAACAATTATGTAAGAATGAATCAACTCTGGGATGAAATCTATGGCAGACTGGGCAACTCTCATTAGAAACCACTCAGGTGAGGCCACTTCTCTAATAGAACATGGATCCCATTGTAGAATTTTCTTCCCACCAAGCTCCTAAGAAATTTTCAATGTTGTGATTCATCCCTCCTGCCTGGTCATCTATTGGTGGGTACATTGTTGAACTGAATTTAATATTTGAATAATTCAATATAATAGCAACTCTCACTAGAAACCACTCAGGTGAGGCCACTTCTCTAATAGGACATGGATCCCATTGTAGAATTTTCTTCCCGCCAAGCTCCTAAGAAATTTTCAATGTTGTGATTCATCCCTCCTGCCTGGTCATCTATTGGTGGGTACATTGTTGAACTGAATTTAATATTTGAATAATTCAATATAATCTTCCAGAAGCATCTCAAAAGCTCGTCATCTCTGATATATTGGACATTTCTCAGTATACGTAACTCAGGACATAAGCTTTGTATCTGAGAATTCAGAAATCCTCTTATCTGAGGTTGCCTCATGTCAAGTATAAGCTCCTCAAACTCATGGTCTTTTTAGACAGCCAATGTTAGTCCCGTTGACGATCCTCTCAACAACTGAAAAAAAGCAATTTGAGGCACCATGATCTCATATTTTGCATGAACTTCAATTATCGCAAACTCATTACCTTTTAGAATAATTATGATTAATGCAGCTAGAGTCGCTCTCATTGAAGCTAGGGTCTGAACATTCTGTCTATAATGAACTGACAGATATCGACGCTGCATCTCTCGTTTCATTTTGAACCAGGTAATGATCTTGTTTTTTCCCTCGCATTGGCATAAGTGATTCAAATTTTCCCACAAAAATAATATACTCTTCTTTAACTTGTTGGTGGCTAGTTTCACCATTATGTTCGGTGGAACTTTTTGATAATCAAAGAAAAATTCTTGAATCTAAAGTCACTCGATGAACTCGTATGAATCCAAGCAACCATCAAAATGTGGAAAATCCATTGTTACTTCAAATTGGCTTCTCATATATTTCAGGTTAAATCTTCATGGTAGATGTTATTTATCCTTCAATCTAGCAAGTCACCGTTGTGGCTACAGGTGACCAGTTCGGATTGCCTCCTCTCGAAAATGGTAAACCTCTATCGCAGTTGGATGATTTCTTGTCGCACATCCTCTATGAAAGATTCTTGGACATCTCTTTGTGGATTTATGATAAGCAGCATAGTACAGATTCCTCAGCATCGTATCTTTATCTCTCGATTAGGTTTCCAGCTAATGTCTCTTCAGTGGCATAGCTAGAATTTGGGTTTTGAGTCGGTGGAAGATTGTGTATAGGGTGATGTGAGTGAGAGAAAAAAATTTTGCAATGGTCGGTTTGAAAAATCAGCAAAGGGAAAGATTTTTTTGTGGAAATAATATTAGGTGGGGGTTGGGTATTGGTGAATGCTAGAAATCCTAGGATATAAATGAGTTACCCAACAACAACGGGAAAATCAAATATTATTATTGAAATCAAATATGAACTTACATCCAAACAAAACAGAAATTTGAAATTGCAATAAACATGACACTAACTCCCACTAGGATTGGATCAGAGGGTGGTGGAGATACTTAATGAGGGTCTATAAGGTGGTTGGGTGGTGAAAAGAGGCGGTGGGCAAGCAGAAACAGCGAGACGGGCAGGCAAGCAGCGGAGATCGATGTGGAAGGGCTCTCCTGGGTGGTGGCACGAGGGAGGCGGTTAGCGGCATGGACAGAGATGGAGGTTGCAAGGAAGAAGGTGGTGGTGGCACGGGGGAGGCGGTTAGCGGCATGGACAGAGATGGAGGTTGGTGTCGAGATGGAGGTTGCTGTCCAGGGAGGAGGCAGCAAGCCTGGAGGGGTGGAGAGGTCTGGAAGCTGCTG